AGGTCAAGGTCATAGGTCAAGGTCAAGGTCACTTTAAACGTTAAAATTCGGATTCAAATTCGAGTAATGATTTCGCTCAAAATTGGCATACAGATAGCCCATGGCACGCTGAGTTCGAAAATGGTGACCTTTTTTTTCCTAGGTCAAACCGTTTGACCTTGAGAGGTCAAAATACTGCGTACCCTGTAGAATCTTTGTTTATGGTCCGATTTGAAAAATTCGACCACCAGTGTGTTCGTCTCATCGAGAAGCAATAGCACATTGAAAAAAATCCGAGGTCAAGGTCATAGGTCAGATTTTATAGGGTATAGGGTAAGATTTTATAGGGTACGGGGACTAAAATTAACGTTTAAAGTGACCTTGACCTTGACCTATGACCTTGACCTCGGATTTTTTCAAATGTGCTACTGCTTCGCGATGAGACGAACACAGTGGTGGCCGAAATTTTCAAATCGGACCATAAACAAAGATTTTACAGGGTACGGGGACTAAAATTAACGTTTAAAGTGACCTTGACCTTGACCTATGACCTTGACCTCGGATTTTTTCGAATGTGCTACTGCTTCTCGATGAGACGAACACAGTGGTGGCCGAAATTTTCAAATCGGACCATAAACAAAGATTCTACAGGGTACGGGGACTAAAATTAACGTTTAAAGTGACCTTGACCTTGACCTATGACCTTGACCTCGGATTTTTTCAAATGTGCTACTGCTTCTCGATGAGACGAACACAGTGGTGGCCGAAATTTTCAAATCGGACCATAAACAAAGATTCTACAGGGTACGGGGACTAAAATTAACGTTTAAAGTGACCTTGACCTTGACCTATGACCTTGACCTCGGATTTTTTCGAATGTGCTACTGCTTCTCGATGAGACGAACACAGTGGTGGCCGAAATTTTCAAATCGGACCATAAACAAAAATTCTACAGGGTACGGGGACTAAAATTAACGTTTAAAGTGACCTTGACCTTGACCTATGACCTTGACCTAGGATTTTTTTCGAATGTGCTACTGGTTCTCGATGAGACGAACACAGTGGTGGCCGAAATTTTCAAATCGGACCATAAACAAAGATTCTACAGGGTACGGGGACTAAAAGTAACGTTTAAAGTGACCTTGACCTTGACCTATGACCTTGACCTCGGATTTTTTCGAATGTGCTACTGCTTCTCGATGAGACGAACACAGTGGTGGCCGAAATTTTCAAATCGGACCATAAACAAAGATTCTACAGGGTACGGGGACTAAAATTAACGTTTAAAGTGACCTTGACCTTGACCTATGACCTTGACCTCGGATTTTTTCGAATGTGCTACTGCTTCTCGATGAAACGAACACAGTGGTGGCGGAAATTTTCAAATCGGACCATAAACAAAGATTCTACAGGGTACGGGGACTAAAATTAACGTTTAAAGTGACCTTGACCTTGACCTATGACCTTGACCTCGGATTTTTTCCAATGTGCTACTGCTTCTCGATGAGACGAACACAGTGGTGGCCGGAATTTTCAAATCGGACCATAAACAAAGATTCTACAGGGTACGGGGACTAGAACTAACGTTTAAAGTGACCTTGACCATGACCTATGACCTTGACCTCGGATTTTTTCGAATGTGCTACTTCTTCTCGATGAGACGAACACAGTGGGGGCAGAAATTTTTAAATCGGACCATAAACAAAGATTCTACAGGGTACGGGGACTAAAATTAACGTTTAAAGTGACCTTGACCTTGACCTATGACCTTGACCTCGGATTTTTTCGAATGTGCTACTGCTTCTCGATGAGACGAACACAGTGGTGCCCGAAATTTTCCGATAGCTCCAAAAATGAAGATTTTATAGGGTACGGCGATTTTTAAAGTGACCTTGACCTTGACCTATGACCTTGACCTCGGATTTTTTCGAATGTGCTACTGCTTCTCGATGAGATGAACACAGTGGTGGCTGAAATTTTCCGATAGCTCCAAAAATGAAGATTTTATAGGGTACGGGGACTAAAATTAACGTTTAAAGTGACTTTGACCTTGACCTATGACCTTGACCTCGGATTTTTTTGAATGTGCTACTGCTTCTCGATGAGACGAACATAATGGTGGCCGAAATTTTCCGATAGCTCCAAAAATGAAGATTTTATAGGGTACGGGGACTAAAATTAACGTTTAAAGTGACCTTGACCTTGACCTATGACCTTGACCTCGGATTTTTTTTTTGAATGTGCTACTGCTTCTCGATGAGACGAACACAGTGGTGGCCGAAATTTTCAAATCGGACCATAAACAAAGATTCTACAGGGTACGGGGACTAAAATTAACGTTTAAAGTGACCTTGACCTTGACCTATGACCTTGACCTCGGATTTTTTCGAATGTGCTACTGCTTCTCGATGAGACGAACACAGTGGTGGCCGAAATTTTCAAATCGGACCATAAACAAAGATTCTACAGGGTACGGGGACTAAAATTAACGTTTAAAGTGACCTTGACCTTGACCTATGACCTTGACCTCGGATTTTTTCGAATGTGCTACTGCTTCTCGATGAGACGAACACAGTGGTGACCGAAATTTTCAAATCGGACCATAAACAAAGATTCTACAGGGTACGGGGACTAAAATTAACGTTTAAAGTGACCTTGACCTTGACCTATGACCTTGACCTCGGATTTTTTTCTAATGTGCTACTGCTTCTTGATGAGACGAACACAGTGGTGGCCGAAATTTTCCGATAGCTCCAAAAATGAAGATTTTATAGGGTACGGCGATTTTTAAAGTGACCTTGACCTTGACCTATGACCTTGACCTCGGATTTTTTCAAATGTGCTACTGCTTCTCGATGAGACAAACACAGTGGTGGCCGAAATTTTCAAATCGGACCATAAACAAAGATTCTACAGGGTACGGGGACTAAAATTAACGTTTAAAGTGACCTTGACCTTGACCTATGACCTTGACCTCGGATTTTTTCGAATGTGCTACTGCTTCTCGATGAGACGAACACAGTGGTGGCCGAAATTTTCCGATAACTCCAAAAATGAAGATTTTATAGGGTACGGGGACTAAAATTAACGTTTAAAGTGACCTTGACCTTGACCTATGACCTTGACCTCGGATTTTTCGAATGTGCTACTGCTTCTCGATGAGACGAACACAGTGGTGGCCGAAATTTTCAAATCGGACCATAAACAAAGATTCTACAGGGTACGGGGACTAAAATTAACGTTTAAAGTGACCTTGACCTTGACCTTTGACCTTGACCTCCGATTTTTTCAAATGTACTACTGCTTCTCGATGAGACGAACACAGTGGTGGCCGAAATTTTGAAATCGGACCATAAACAAAGATTCTACAGGGTACGGGGACTAAAATTAACGTTTAAAGTGACCTTGACCTTGACCTATGACCTTGACCTCGGATTTTTTCGAATGTGCTACTGCTTCTCGATGAGACGAACACAGTGGTGGCCGAAATTTTCAAATCGGACCATAAACAAAGATTCTACAGGGTACGGGGACTAAAATTAACGTTTAAAGTGACCTTGACCTTGACCTATGACCTTGACCTCGGATTTTTTTCGAATGTGCTACTGCTTCTTGATGAGACGAACACAGTGGTGGCCGAAATTTTCCGATAGCTCCAAAAATGAAGATTTTATAGGGTACGGCGATTTTTAAAGTGACCTTGACCTTGACCTATGACCTTGACCTCGGATTTTTTCAAATGTGCTACTGCTTCTCGATGAGACGAACACAGTGGTGGCCGAAATTTTTAAATCGGACCATAAACAAAGATTCTACAGGGTACGGGGACTAAAATTAACGTTTAAAGTGACCTTGACCTTGACCTATGACCTTGACCTCGGATTTTTTCGAATGTGCTACTGCTTCTTGATGAGACGAACACAGTGGTGGCCGAAATTTTCAAATCGGACCATAAACAAAGATTCTACAGGGTACGGGGACTAAAATTAACGTTTAAAGTGACCTTGACCTTGACCTATGACCTTGACCTCGGATTTTTTCCAATGTGCTACTGCTTCTCGATGAGACGAACACAGTGGTGGCCGAAATTTTCCGATAGCTCCAAAAATGAAGATTTTATAGGGTACGGCGATTTTTAAAGTGACCTTGACCTTGACCTATGACCTTGACCTCGGATTTTTTTGAATGTGCTACTGCTTCTCGATGAGACGAACACACTGGTGGTCGAATTTTTCAAATCGGACCATAAACAAAGATTCTACAGGGTACGCAGTATTTTGACCTCTCAAGGTCAAACGGTTTGACCTAGGAAAAAAAGGTCACCATTTTCGAACTCAGCGTGCCATGGGCTATCTGTATGCCAATTTTGAGCGAAATCATTACTCGAATTTGAATCCGAATACGAATACGACGCTAACTTTATGGACATGTTTACTAGTCAGCTGGCTGACAACGATATCATTACTTTACTGCCATCTTTTTTGTCATCTGACAAATTACTGCCTATGGAGTAATAAATATTGAAAATATTGTCGTTGAATTTATCGCATCCATTTGTATCTATAACGTTGTAGACATTTTCCTTGCATGACCTTCCATGACCCAAAAAGACAAAAAAGAATATTTTCTATGTTTAATTGTTCAAACAATTTTCTTCTTGCCTGCAAAATGCAAGTGAGGAGATTCCTTATAAAATCATAAATTGCGTTTCCTAAACGAAATTGCGAGTCGTGACTCAGTCTCCGTTTTCCGCAGCTGATGCAACGATTCCCCGATACACCCTGCCTCGTTGCATGTTTATGATTTTATTCGGTCTAGTTGTGACGCGTCGGCCCGCTCAGCTATCAACCCAATGTTTGATTACTGAGAGTTGGCGCGACACTAAACAAACAGTGTCGCACTATCAGTAGGTACCGGAACTTGCCAGTTGCTGCAACTGGTCGGAATATCCCACTGCACTGCCATTGAGTCAGACGCTTCCGCCCGCGGCCTCGCGGAGGCAATAATAAGCCTGGGCAGGTCGGCACTGCATCAGTCGACCTGCGCACGTTGCTGGGTTCGCTCCGCAGTCTGTGCCCCTCAGACGGAGACTATGAAGCCGTTTACAGTGAAGCTCCTGATGGGAGCTCTCCTGGTGGGTCTGGCCAGCTCCAGTCTGCCTCACTCGGCCAGTTCAGAACCGGTACGTAGCGAGCTCCAGGTGGTTGAGCTCCTGAGTGATGTCCTGACCGACATCCACACCCGCCTGGTGGTCCTCCACGAGTCGCAGATGGAGCTGCAGCGGAAGCAGGACCGTCTGGCGGAGCAGATGGAGGCCCTCGGGCGGCAGTCTGTGCGGGGTGCTGGCGGAGAGTGCTGTCACTGCCCTCTGACAATACAGCGGAACTGAGCACTGCCCTCGCCCACTGCCTGCTTCAGGTTACCGGGACCGTGGCCGGCTCATCAGGTGACGGCAGATCGCCAGACGCCGCCAACTGTAAGTCAGCAGCACGCCACTGACGATGAGATAAGAATAAGATAATGTTTGATAGAATGGCACTGGAACCCCGTCTTTTGAAGTTATCGTTGCACATTCTACCTGTATACGTTAATAATTGAGGACATCCCATTCGACTTAGAGAGCTTAGCCTGTTCGTTTCTTTTTTCAATGCAGTTTCCGATGTACTATCAATGTTGTAAAACAGCGATCACTGAACGTTCCAAATGAGCCCTCATCTCACAAACCCCGGGCGGTGGCGCTGACCCGCCGATGTCGTATCCCCTCAGGCGGTATGCTCGGCCTGCCGTGTGGGAGTGACGCCGACTGCGCGCGCCTGGGCCTGTCGGCGGCCGCTGCCTGTAACCCTGTCGGCGTGTGCTCCTGTCGGCGCGGCTTTCGACAGGTGTCGGACACAGAGTGTCGGCCGCTCGCCGCGCTGGGCGACTGGTGCCGGGAGGACGCCGATTGTAAGGTCAGTCGACGTCCGTTCTTCTTTGCACGTGCGTGCGTGCGAGCGTTACATTTGGCATCACGATAGCTGATGCCCAAAATTACCTACTGTTGATTCTTACCAAATAAGTAATTATAATAGCTTGGGCTGGGCAATGGGCATGTGATGTGTGCTATACCTGATTTCATTTGCAACCGTTTGTTGATACCGAATTAGCTTGAATCGAATTATTTTACAAACTCGTCACGTCTCCGCCCATGACCATGCTCCTCGGCTGCTTTTATCTGCATGCGTTACTTTGACCCACAGACTCTGACATCTCATGGAGTTTGCCAAGACTACGTTTGCTCGTGTGCCGACGGATTCTGGAACTTCAACAACACAGAGTGCCGGCCCGGTAAGCTTTTATAAGAATAGCTTAGCGAAGAACCCGAACAATGGCAAGAACACACTTGTGCACTTTATGTTACCTATTGATTATAACCGTAGGGGAAGTTGGGGCAATGCCGGAGTTGGGGCAAAGCCGAAATTCGAGATATTTCGAAAACCGTAAGACATGATGCCACCTGTCAGTGATGCTCTGAAGCATAAGTGACTACAATTATCGCATGTTTGTTACGAGTCGTCATTCGGAATACTTCGACTGTGAGGACGCCAAGAGCGTTTTCAAGGTACGTTTCCCTTGTACTACATGCGCCTTTGAAGCTGCATTTCTTACTCATTATGCTACCGTTTGTCTGGCCAATTCGGTCAAGTAATCTTTATCATGTCTTTGCATAAGTGTGCTGCCTATTTGAAATTTATACAGCACGTTGACAAGTTATGGGCCTGCAAATGAAAGTATGGCAGGCTGGGGTAATGCCGAAAACGTGCGATTACGCACGTGTTGAAAGCACGCTACGTGGACTTTACTGCTGTAGAATAGCAACGCGTATTTTTAGTCACACAAATTACACTTTCAACCGACACAACGGCCTGTTACCTATAAGGAATGATTTACCTGGCATGTTCTTATTATATCACACAATAACCTCCAGTGTGCACCGCGTCCTCAAGCTCTTAACCCATTTACGCCCTTCGTTGCGTTTTCGCAACGCAAGCAAGCGTCGACGTGATCGAAGCTTGAGAAGTGTGTAAAAGAGACTTACCGATGAGACAAGTTTCAGCGTATGTAGCATGGTTGTGCGCATGATGCTACGCAGTTACAAGTCTGTGCGGCCGGTAAGTTACTGCCTAGAGCTCCCAGAGGGAAGTCGAAGGTTTTGTGAGTGATGACGTCACGAAAACCAAGATAAGTAGGCCAAGTGCTTAATAATATCGTAATGAAAATTGTGTAAACATATTCTGCAGAGTCCCTACAATAGCGTAGATATGCATTTTGTTCAGAAATAATGCTACAAAAAGGGTTTGTGACTATTTTCAAATATGACTACGGTCGCGTTGCGGGAACGCAACGAAGGGCACATCGGAAAGACAGCGGTGTTGAGAAAACGCAACGATGGGCACATTGGCAGGGTAGCGGAAGTATGAATATCAACAGTAGACTTCACTCGTGATACGCTGTGGGTTCTCTCTTTCTCTCCCCATCTTCCTCCCTCTCCTCCTCGTTCCCCAACTCTCTCCCTCTCTCTCTCCCTCTCTCTCTCTCTCTATCTCTATATCTCTCTCTCTCTTTCTTTCTTTCTTTCATTTTGTAGCCATGAGGCTGTAGCGGCGGAATATCTTCAATTAAGGGGGGGGGGGGGGGGGGCACTGCCGACTTTTGGTCCCATTCTTTCCATTTCCATTTCCATGCAACGCCTATAGGGATAATGTTAAAATGGCAAAATGAATGGGGGCACGGTGCCCTGGTGCCCCCTCCCCCCCCGCTCCGCCGCCTATGCCATGAGGGACGTGTATAGGATAGGTATGTCTAGTGCAAGGTGCGTTCGCACGTAAAATGTTGCGACACATTTCATATTTGCTGGCTCAAACAGCCACAAACACTCCTTTCTTTTTCTCTTGCAGATTATCGGCCTCGGACTGTTCGTTCACCAAGCAATGTGTTCCCACGCATCTGAAAATCGCATGGTAGGAAAAGGACTCATGCATCAAACGGTCGGCGATGCTAACGGAGCTGAGAGATAATTAGGTCCTTTGGAAATTGGATCTACTATGTACATTGTGCATAAATAATGAACAACGGGGATGTATTCTGGTATCAGGCGACAGATAGGCATCGCCATTCTCTGGATAGAATCTGCTGACTACCAACATTTACGTTAGAAAAGATAACTGAGGGTCGGTAAATAGTGGGATAGGCTAGCTGAGCCCTTCGGCAGGGGTAATGAGGGCGGACCTGGAAAAATAATAGTTTTTAGGATTCATAACTCGCATAGATTCATAAGCTGCTTGATGTGGAGTTTGGAGTATACCTACGCTTGTTTTCTTACTTTGATAGGCTTTTTATCTAATCAGATCATTTTTAGAGCTAGCAGGATTATTGGAATTAGGGGAGACATTTGTCTGACCGGACACGGTTAATCGTAGACTGGAGACTGAGCCCAGCCAGTGGGCAGGCCACCCATGACCCACCCCCTTCCCCCCTCCCAAGCACTCACTGCACCCGGCTACAGGCGCGCTCCTATGTGAGCTGCCCGATTGCGATATACGTTGCCGGTCCAGCCCGGAACAGGGGGTTGAGGCGTGGAGGAGGATTCAACTATCCTGAAGATGGAAAGGACGGATTGACGTCGAATCACCATTCTGTCCTGGCATTGTCTCGAGAAAGAGGTTACACGTGAAGGTCGCTGAGAGTGGGGCCATGACAATTTTGGATTAGGTGTAAACAGATAAACTGGGAGTCGATTTGTTGTGACGCGCTATGCCTTACGCGGGTAATTTGTTAGAGCCGGATCGGTCCTTTTTTCTTTTTGCTGAGAGTGGGTACGACTATCCTGCAATGGAATTTAACTTTACTCCTAGGAGGGTGGTTAACAATGATTGCGGATATACGCGCATACGTGAGGCACTGGTTTACTCCCAATCCTCCGTTTAATTGTATTCACTTATTCAATGTGGGGTCTGATAGGTGGGGGTAATGGCTCTGTCTAGCTTCCAAAAAGAAAGCATCACCCTGGATACGTGTCGACCACAACTTTAAATGAACAGCAATGGACAACGTAAATGGTTGATAATGACCGTGTTGCCATCTCCCCGTTCGCGAATCATGAAGTTATGCTTCCTCACCGAGGCTCTTAGGCGGGTTATAGAGCACGACGGATGTGGGTTCCGCATTTTCAAGCAATAGTTGTCAACAGTTGATTGATGTTTTGTCAAAACATATTAGCATATACGGCAGTTCAGTGTACTTTATGTCCGTCTGATGTGCCCGTCGTTGCGTTTTCGCAACGCTGATGGCGCCCGGTGTGCCCTTCGTTGCGATTTCGCAACGCATGTTTTTTACGTTTTTCTCGAAAAACTTTTGCTGCAGGCAAAAATTATTTTCGATTCCATGCAAGGCCCTGGTAGGAGCATAACATGTTTTGATTTCGTCGATTTTCATGATGGTCAATATTCCTGGGCATAAATGGGTTAAAACGCGTGTCAGCTTTGATCAATTCTGGATAAAGTTTGAGATAAAATGGCAAAACATCAATGTCGGCATTCCCCGTAGATCATTTCTCCCATTTTCGGCTTTCCCCGCAGTCCGGGGCAACGCCGAAAAAGTCACTTCTTTGATATTTTTAGTTTGTGCGCTTAACGGTATGCGAATTCATCAAATGCGCCTGGTATGTTTGAAAGGCAAAAGACTGGCCTCTCGAATGACGCCAACAAGAATAGCTTATGTTGTCTACCTTGCGTGCTACGGGCGTCAGAAAAAAAGTCTTCGGCGTTCCCCCAACTTCCCCTACCTAATACCTATGTGTTATAGGCCACTCACAGAAACATCAAATCAAATACCTAAGCAGCACTCCATCCATCTGAAAATATTCGTACGGAACATAAGTAAACAGTGACTTTCAACGCCTTAATGTTCATTTATTGTGAATGCGTAAACGTTCATCATGATGCCGGTGCACATTGCAGCAGCCTTCGCTACAGTGTTGAATGTTCTGCAATCTGTATTGTTGATAATTACCTGCATTACCAATGCATATCATTCATCCTCATACAAAGGCCTTTTATTGCAACGAAATCCAGCACTAAAATTGTTTTCACGACGCATTATGATTTCAGTCGGAGCCGTGTACCTGCACAATGCGTGTGTGGGTGACCAGGACTGCTCGTCCGGAGGCCGCTGTGTCTCGGGGACCTGTCAGTGTCCCATCGTCAGACTCGGATACAGTGAGTGGAGGTTTACAGTTGGCTAATACCGTAGTGATGGACTAATGAGATGTTGTGGTCGCTCGTGGAGATCGTATTCAGGTGCGGGAAGACCCTGCATGATTTCCATCTTATTCTGTTTTGACCACCATTCATTGACATTTGTGACTAAAAAGAGTGCGTACAATTAAGAATTGAATGCAGCCAATTATAGGGTGCTTCAAGCCGATCATTTGGCCCGACACTGAGGTGTTATATTTGACCAAGTAGATATACCGAGTGCCTAACCCGAGTGTTGACAGTTGACGGACGCTAAGCTTACCCCAGAAATGAGCTGACCGCGGTACATACGTCGTTTCAGTCGAGTACCGGCTGGTCGGAGGCGGCTCGTGCAGCGATGGTTGGGTGGAACTCCGCCGCGGTGGACCCGATAACAAATGGGAGCACGTCTGTCCCGGTAACTGGGACTCCACGGACGCCAAGGTCGTCTGCAAGAGTCTCGGCTACGGGTAAGACATTTAAAAATTGATGTTGTGGTAAGAAAGCCGTTGAATGGTTGCTCGATCAAAAAATCGTATGATAGATGAGCTTGAGCACGTAAGAGCGTAGGTATAATGTTTGGCAGTCATATCGGACAAAAATGCTTACAGGCACTGTCATAAAAAAATATTGCCTTAGAGTGCGGCCGTAAAAAAAAAACGGAATGAGTGTGCCTATGCGGGGCTACGATTAGGTATTTATTTCACAACTTAAGGTTGCAGTTGTTTTGTATGCACCAGCACGTAATAGTATTTAAGCCTCTAACATAAAATGGAGAGGCTCGTTTTTTTCATAAAAAAAAAATCGTTCGATCTAAAAATATGTTAACACGCGCAGTGGAAGGGGGGGGCGGATTTCGCCCACCCCTCCTGTTTTTCGCCAATAACTCGCGCCGCAAACATGATATTAATGTGAAATTTTGGCTACCTGTCCAGAATTGAACTGCGGATCTTCTCGTGCAAGAAATAAAAAAATCGGGTCACAACTTTTCTAGTAATAGCGGTGTAAAGTCAAACATCCTGCCGCCGCGGCGGCGCGGCGGCGCGGCGGCCGGCGCTAGCCGTTACGCGCCGCCTGAATTGTAGACTGTGCCGGGGCGGGACGGTTCGGTCTTTACATCGCGCTCCTCAGTGGCGGCGGAATAGGGGTTGCAGGGGGTGCAGCTGCACCCCCATTGAAAAACATGGGGGTGCAAACATATCTTTTTGCACCCCCAAAATCCGTACAAGGGGCCCGTCGCACCATCCAATACATTTTCTCCTGAAAACCAGTGATCGGGAAACGAACACTGATGTGGAATCATCCGGGATGTCCAATTATGGTCAGGAGTGCCCCATGCTAGTCTTTGGGGCCCCCACACCGGCTAGAAGTGTCCCGAGCCGCGTTTGGTGCTCCACGCGGCATCTGAGGGCCCCCACGACGGCCTCAGAGGGGGCCCCTTTATGACTATCTCTGAGGGCTCCCACCTGAGGGCTTTGTCCCCTGGGGCCCTACAACGGCTACTAAGGGCCCTCATGACGACAGCTGAGTGTCCTACAGAGACTCCAGGGCCCCAAGGAGACTCCAGGGGCCACGCTGGCCTCTGAGGGCCCCTATGACGGCCTCTGATGGCCCTTACGATGATCTCTGAGGGCTCTCACGACGAACTCTGTCCCCTGGGGCCCTATAACGACCACTAAGGGCCCTCATGGCGACCGCTGAGTGTCCGACAGGACTCCAGGGGCTCCACTGGCCTCTGAGGGCCTCTACGACGGTCTCCGAGGGCCCTCGTGACGGCCCTAGACCCAACTCAAGTCTGAGGGCCCATTTGGCTTCAGACGGCCCAGCGAGTGCCTCTGAGGGCCCCAACACAACCAGGCTCCAGGGTCTATGCTGGCATCTGAGGCCTCTGCAACGGTCTATTGAGGGCCCTAACAACGATGGCCTCTAGCGGTCTTACAAAGGCCTCTGAGAGCCCTGCAAATGTATCTGAGGGCCCATGAAGACCCTCAATATGGCCAAGGACCCTCATGACGACCTCTGATGATCCTCTCGAAGGCTTCTAAGGGCCCTCACAACTTCTGAGGCCCCCAGGACGGTCCCTGAGGGGCTGAGAGCCCTGACGACCTCTCTGGGCCCTCACGATGGTCTCTAAGACCCAACGCAAGCTCCAAAGGCCCACACTGGCGTCTGAGGGCCTCACGACGGTCTCTGAGGGCCTCGACGCAGGTAGACTCCAGGGGCCATGCTGACCTCTGAGGGCCCTCTTGACGGCTTCTAGGGCCTAACGAAGGCTTCAAGGGCCAACGGTTGCCTCTGAAGAACCCTACGACGGCCTCGGAGGGTCTCAACTCAACGCAGGCAGGTGCCAGGAGACATGCTGGCCTCTGAGGGCCCCGCAGACTTCAGATTCAGAGGATCCAACGACCTTTGTGGACCTTACGAAATACGAAGGTCTCCGAGAGCTCACGCAGGCTCCTGGAATTCCACACTGATTCTCAGGCCCCATGTCGGCTTGTTGAGGCACTTTATCTGCTCTTGGTGCCCTGTCGCCGGCCTCTGAAAGTCTCAATGTCGGAACTTATGGGGCTATGGGCCCTACACCGGCTTTTATGGCCCCTACATCGACCCTTGGGACTCATAACCCATGAAATGTGGGTTTAAACGACTTCTAAGAATCCCCATGCTGGTTCTAGTAACCGCCAGCCGAATATTAGGGCTCACACGCGAGCTCCTGGGACCCCATGCATACCCCAGGGGTCTACCTGCCTCTAAGACCCCACACATACTTTTGGGGCTCAAACGCTTGCCCCTGAAGGCCCCGCTGAGACCCCTTTCCTCTATTCAGTCCTCCATACCGGCTCTTTAGGCTAAACATCGGCTCCTGTGGCCTCCATCCCGGCTTTGGAGGGCCTCCATACAGGCTTTTTTGGGGTTCGATGCCGGTTTCTGAGAGCCCTCAAAAGACTTTCGAGCCTATACTACCTTGGCTGAAACCTTTCAGCAACTTTCAAGGGACCGACTCTGATCGGAGGGCTCATTCAGTCTGGGGAGTCATGTAAGTCTCTGGAGGAGTCTCTTTGTGGTTGGCTTCCAAGGGGCTTCTAAACACGGTCTTCTTGGAACGGTCTCGTAGGGCCCTCAATGGTCCACTGCGGATCCAGAAAAGTGGTTTGAGACGCTGCGGGTGGTGGCTAGACTAAAAGATTAGCCGATAAAAAACTAGCTGCATTTGCTTCTTTATGCTTTCATTATTTGAGATAGGTAGGAACACTACAATTTCAAGCCTTTTACAGAACTTGTGTGTATGGGGATAGTTTTCCAAAATTTTCGTTTTTTATAAATCAATAAAAATCACTAAAAAAATTGAAAGGGGGGGCCAAAACTTCCAGAGGGGCCCCTTGAGAAAACTTTGCACCCCCATCCAAAATTACCTTCCGCCGCCACTGGCGCTCCTTACCGCTGATTATATTCGATTCGCGTCAATTTTTGTGAGAAGACTAAGAAATGTACAGGCAATCTTATGGTCAAAGAATTTTGAAAATCGGCCGGTAACAAATGAGTTATGAGTGTGTAAACACAAAATTGTGATTGCCGCGTTTCCCGCGTCCTCCGATCCCGCTTCAGCCAGCGACATCTTACGCTTAGCAGTCTTCTGTCATATTTATCGTTGGATTAACAAGAAATTCACCATACATACTCACAAATGTATGTTCTTTCGTAAAGTGAATAAAAAAAGAAAATCGGCCGGTAACTTTTTGAGTTATCGGCGTATAAACGCAAAAAAGTCGCTAATATGGCAGATTTGACCACTTTTGACCTTATTTGACCTTGAAGATATTGACTTAGGGTCATGAAATTCACACACAACAGAGTTCCCCTAGGCCCCCACCTACCCTCCAAATTTCGTCTTTCTAGCTCTAGTGGGAGCTGAGATCTTAGGGGGGGGGGGGCGACATCCGCCCCCCTTCCACTGGGCGTAGTACTCGCAACCCTTCCACTGCGCGTGTTAAATATCAGTAAACTGTTCGACATTTAATCGCCCTTTGTTTTCAGGTCGTCCGGAAGGAGCCTGCGGTTGTCATACTACGGCGCCGGCAAACCCAACATCGCCGTGCAGGAGGTGCTGTGCACCGGCAGCGAACCCCACCTGCTGGCCTGCAAACACCGCGTCAACGTGCAGTGCAGCGGAAACGAGGTGGCCGGCGTCGTGTGCGAGCCCTAGCTGACGATCGAGCTGAATGTGATAAGACACCGTGTGTGCCCGATGTGCACCTCCTGCCCTTTCGAGAAGAGCTGGTGCACCCGCACGTGCGGCGTGCACGTAATCTATTTCTAATCAATCTGTCAAGCCCGATCGATGCCTTTGAATGCTCAAACGTGTATCCATTTATGCGATACAATGTAACTGAAAACGCGCACGATGTTGGCTGTTTTTAAAGATAATAAATTCGTTATTTTGTTGCTGTTGAATAATCTGATCGCCCAGGTGAGGTGCATGATAGTAGGTATAGTATTCATAAGCATTTTCTTTGCAACTAAATAATGTGACACGCCGTACTTTCTTTCGAACCGAGTTTCATGTAACACGCTGTCCTATCTCCGAGCCGTGTGGGCCGATCGATTCCAATCGACGCGCTTCGCTGCTCCCTATAAAAGCAGCAGCGACGCGGACGCGGGGACACTACGCATTCGTTCACTCACGCTGGAGGACTGTCAGTCATTCGCGGTGTGTGATCGCTCGGTGTGAGAATCGCCGTCGATACCGGGCTGACTGGTCAGCTTCTTGACCCCCCCTGCGACCGACAACTATCATGTAAGTCCGGCAGCGCGTCGCCGGTCATTCGGCGGCATTAGATTCTCCAGCCTATCGAATGCTTTATTTTTGGCCCACTAACATAAAATCTGAATCTGTCAATTGATTCAAATATCTCGGTAAATGGTCACTTACTCGTGGAGTTCAGACTTCTGCATCATTTTTGTGTGCGTACTGTTAACGTCGTTATAAAGAGTTGTGCAAATCTCGTACCCACTATAACGCCTCCGCTTGCTCTGAAGTTAGTTTATGTCTGTGTGCATTCACGTGTGTATGACGCGGATTGTGCATGTCAAATATGTCGTGCTCCAACTGCCACCCCTACTCCCTCCTCCTGAAATTAGCACGTAACATACAATATAACCCACTGACGAAACTAGACTATGATGGCGAATGAGGGGCTATAACGAAAGGGAGATGATCGAAGCGATGGGCTGACGAGGTCGGGTAGATGAGTAGGGTAGATCGGGTTTCAGAAATTGTGGTCTATAATTGGGTAGCAAGGCTAACAAATGATATATCTCGGTCAAATATCAAGGGGAGTGGGTCGATTTGAGCGTTGAGGATCTGGGGGTTGTCCTCTTATAACTTTGCTATTAACCTGTCGTCATTAGCTCATACTAACGCTTGGATGACGTCAACTGACAATACCAGATAATTTCCGTAATCAACATCTTGTTTAAAAAAAAAAAAAATCTTCAGAGCTCAGCATGCCATTTGACGGTAGTTTTCCTGTATGCATTCGCAATTATCCGGATAGTTGTTACTTGCTAGTAGGTCTCAGTTCGCTTATTCATCAATTGCAGCTCAAGGAGGTTCAAAATGAAACACCTTCCCAGATTTGAAGTAATGATTGAGCGTTCGATGTTTCTGTTTTGTTTTTCGTAGATGACTCGTTAACGGATTGACGTATATTGTCGAGTAATTTAGGGTTCTAAAAATCTGCAACAAGTAATTCAATGGATTGTGTACAATTATAATTCACTGAGCCAAATCGAAACCGGTATACCATGGTGGCAATAAAATCGTTCAAGTAACCGGCCCTACTGATTTACTGATTTCCGCGGTTCGAACTCAACATGTTTCGCCACATTCCCTCCTACATTGACGAGAGCCATATTTCATTTTGTACTATAGTTCGTTTTTTTTAAGTTTGACCTTCACTGTAAACGTCTTTTTGAACATAGCACGAGAATTGCTAGCTGAATTACTGAGAAAACTGGTTGGCGCACACTGATTTAACCAGATTTCACAGACGATCAATTTCATCAAATTTATTTACTATTTCACAGACTCGTAAATCGTATCTGCCAATACCTACAGCCTCACAGGGATAGACGACTTCTCAGGACTTATGTCTGAACTAATAAATAAATTGCACGGCGCTTAACATAACGTTAAATCGTCGATGTTCAAAACTTATTTTTGAAAATATTATTCATATCTACAATACAATGTGCGCTTACCAGTTTTCTCAGTAATTCAGCTAGCAATTCTCGTGCTGTGTTCAAAGAGACGTTTACAGTGAGGGGCAAACTTAAGAAAAACGGACTATAGCATACTTTACAATAGCGTGGTACTCAGAAACTTTGCAGTAAGTTCATTATTGATGAATTAAAAATCAAAGGCTGATTTTAACAGAACTGAAGTAAATAACGAAAAGTAATGAAAACTTGAGTTACAGACCGTAATTACTAACAATCGTGATTACAATCCACGAAACCTTTCAACATGTTACAAACAAGTTACGACAACCTTATAAATTACTAACTATTAAACCAAGAAAACCTTGCAAATTGACAACGAACCCAGAACGCTCTATTATACGAAGTTTCGGAAGTTTAAGCAAACATGTCAAGTACTTTCCGCCATAAACTGAAAAAATCCCCCCTGGTACTACTTTTTCGTAGTTACAATCGTGTGAACGGGCAGCAATGTAAAACAATGAACCATTCTGGCTTAATTATTTATTACTATCATTTAAACTCCTACGTTTCCAACAAAGCAAATTACGCAATGCTGTCAGTCAATTACGCCATACACGCATTCAATGTTTTGCGGCTGAACGTTTTGCATTCTAATTCATATAATACGTCATGGTTAAGTCCGGAGTACGTTGGTTTCCAACTTTACTATTTCTCGGTAAAGGCACGTTTTCTAGATGAAACCCAGGCATAGAAAACGCATGATCAGGAACAGATATAGTGTCTAGTTTTACTACTAGTTAACTTCCCCATAAAACGTAAAGTGACGCCCGCTTTAATTTTGTGATGAATGCTACATTTCGGTACAGTGGCTCTCAGCAGTGAAATTGATGCCAAAGGGGCATTACGTAGAAGTCAATTTATTCTATTGTCAACCTGTTCTGTTGTTCTTGGTTGAAGAACCCTCTTATTGTCGTTCAGTGTGACTGGTAGATTTGGTTTACTACGTCAATATCACTTGGGCTAATTCCGTAAAATTCCAGACGCGCCGTTCACCCTATTAGTGGCAGCCGCTTAGTTTCGGGGACGCCGTATCATTATCATTTAGTAATGTCCTATACTTGCTGAAGGACCATTCACCTAATTGACATTCAGTGCGTCTGGCATATTTGGTAAACTACGTCAATATCACTCCGTCAAACTCAACAGAATTCCAGGCGCGCCGGTTCGCCTATTTAGTGTCAGCCATTTAGTAGGGGACGCCGCATCGTTATCATTTATGTAAATTGTTAGTGCAGCAGATAACCGAACGATTTTGGGACCAAGTCAATAAGATAAACAATCATTGTCAGTTGGCTCCATTCCTCTATTCAGCGACTAATTTACGGGACAACAATTGTAGTGGTTAAGAGATACATATACTGCCTGGCGTTACACCAGCCGCCCTTACCAGGAAATAGTCCAGTCGTTACCATTATATCGAATGGGGTAGATTATTACTACTAATTGTCATTATTGACATCATGCCCTGCGCCAGTGAGAGATGCGACGAGTCCACTTCTAGGTCACATGTAATAGTGTGTGACGCCTATTTACTGTAAAGTTTCTACAGCACCAGCCCAGATCTCCTGACTGCTCTGTGAGCGCTGGGTTTACTGCCCCCCCATAAATGAGACAGCGACGGCTGGCCATGCGTGGCCGTAATTACCTCTCCATGGAAGCGAGCTGAAGCGTGTTGGTACGGTATACACAATCGACTGGATTACACTTTTCCAATTGTCGGGGAATGAGAAATAAGATATGGGTCTCTCTGTTGGGGTCAGAGCAGCGCATTTGTACCTAAGGCAGTGTTGGTCGTTGCATGAGATATCAGCTGCATGTCTCCACCCATTTCCGAATGTCTGGGGTCATGCCATTGGCTGGCTGAAGGTCAGATCCAGTTTTGGGCCCGTACCGTCGTAATACGGCGGCGAGACGGGCAGGCGTCGTTGTTCGATTCCCTGCGCCGCCCCTGGTGAGAAGCGGCGGCGCAGTGTGCGTGTCTGATTCGCTCGCCCAGATGAGGGGTGATGCTTTACGTTGACGCCGTTGTTTGATATCCGGATGAATTTCGTGGTGGTTATTCCGGGCGATTCCCGAGGTGTTACAGATGTTCCGGGCGTACTCCCGAGGTGGTAAGATATTCCGGGCGATTCCCGAGGTGTTACAGATGTTCCGGGCGTACTCCCGAGGTGGTAAGATATTCCGGGCGATTCCCGAGGTGTTAAAGATGTTCCGGGCGTACTCCCGAGGTGGTAAGATATTCCGGGCGATTCCCGAGGTGTTACAGGTGTTCCGGGCGTACTCCCGAGGTGGTAAGATATTCCGGCGATTCCCGAGGTGTTACAGATGTTCCGGGCGTACTCCCGAGGTGGCAAGATATTCCGGGCGATTCCCGAGGTATTGAAGATGTTCCGGGCGTACTCCCGAGGTGGTTAGAGTTCCGTGACCCGCAATAGGTCACGACAAAGTGGTATCGCATGTAACGGGGCTGTATGGTGGTGCCATGATTAGCCGCATGGAGGGGGCTACTAATTTCTGGGATCCACTTCCGAAGTATGGTTGCTGTGTGAATGTGGTTATTACTAGCTCATCACGGAAGCTCCTAATTGCCTTCAGAGTAGGCCCACTCTGTAGTCAATTTTGGGCTATAGGCTGCTTTCAGGATGACCTGGATAATGAACGAGAGGTGCATGAATGTAATAATGTCAGTTGCGGAAGCCCAGAGATAATGATGCTAGCTGCCCATCCCGACCATTAAACACTTACCAAAAAGTCAGATGAACTACCCTTGATCGATATTGTTTATGACCGCTCGGAGTGGGCCTGTATTACCCGGGCGTGTCCACCAGTCGCACAGCATCACCAGCTGCTCGTTTATGACGCTGAACAGTGAAATCGATACTCAATTCCAGAGAGAATAGCACGGCTCTCAGTACAGCCGACCGACAGCGTGCAGGTGCCACTGCACTCATCGCTTGGTAACAATCCAAATCGGTAATCGTTTTACAACCGCGCCGGGCCGCGCGCGCCGGCAGGACCGGCGAGGCGTCATTTTATTGTGACTGTTGTCTCGTTCCACCCAGTATAGAGTTGACCAGTGTTACCACCACGTACTTGACTGATACAACTTTGGCTCGTAACGAAACGAATTAGTAACTGGCTTTTAGCCTGTTCTCTCCGCGCGCCTAACAAAGTCTCGTCAGGTCACCCGGGCCGACAAGTTTTACAAGTAAGACAGTAGTACTGAGCAGGTGCGGCCGGGATCATTCGGCGTGTCCGCTGCCCGTTTTATGGCATGAAAGCCGAATCGATAGTTATCGACGAAACTACCTCTCTCTCTCTCTCTCTCTCTCTCTCTCTCTCTCTCTCTCTCTCTCTCTCTCTCTCTCTCTCTCTCTCTCTCTCTCTCTCTCTCTCTCTCTCTCTCTCTCTCTCTCTCTCTCTCTCTCTCTCTCTCTCTCTCTCTCTCTCTCTCTCTCTCTCTCTTTCTCTCTCTCTCTCTCTCTCTCTCTCTCTCTCTCTCTCTCTCTCTCTCTCTCTCTCTCTCTCTCTCTCTCTCTCTTTCTCTCTCTCTCTCTCTCTCCCTCTCTCTCTCTCTCTCTCTCTCTCTCCCTCCCTCTCTCTCTCTCTCTCTCCCTCTCTCTCTCTCTCTCCCTCTCTCCCTCTCTCTCTCTCTCTCTCTCTCTCTCTCTCTCTCACTCACTCACTCACTCACTCTTATTCTCTCTCTTTCACTCTCCCTCTCTCTCCCTCCCTCTGTCTTCACAGTTCCGTAACGTGCTTGTAGCTGAACAGTAAATGGGGCTATTGAGTTTTCCTGGCATTATTGGTGCGCTTTGTTTGGTTTAATTTACCTATGATGCGTAGGCACTGAACGTTTACCGAGATATGAGAGTGCAAATTGACACAATTCAGACTTTAACAAAATTAGTCAGTCACGACAGCTTGTTGCTTTTATGCATTTTGGGCTTTGGGAATCTAAACTGCTTAATGATCTGCCGACAAACTGACGGGCGAGCGTGAGAGGCGTTACGCGGCGGCGATGATGTTGAACAAAGAAAACAGGAAGACTAGTTGCGAGCATCACGACCAGAACAAAGAAAACAGGAAGAGAACCAAAGGAAACAGGAAGGAAACCACGACATGCCAATCAAAATCGGCATCGACACCTCAACATCGCATCATCACATCGAAATATCAATCCATTAATCGGAAACGCCGCGTAACAATAATTGTATATGTTTAGTTATAGTGCTGAACGAATATTGCTTACCTTTCTCAGGAAAGGTTCGATGTTTCTGGCACGCCCTTCGTTTATCAACGTTTCATCAACGGGCTGGCTCCCCATCAATGATAAGCGATTTTGAAACAGGGATTAGATATACCTATAAATAAAATCCAGCACAAAATATTCATAGGCAGTATATTTGTGATATGCGGAAAACAAAGTCAACTCTAGAAATGTTACTGAATAATGCATCATCCTACAATTTAGAGCATTTCCCAGTGTGCAACGAGGACATCGCGTTACGACAGAGTGTCGAGCGAACACACAAAGTTCGTGTTATAGCAGAGTCACAAACTCTGATGCATCAATCCTACATTCCACATTAGGTACAGCATTCCCCGACCACTCAGTAGACCACTTCAGTAAGCAAGGTCGAATGGCCTAAGAAGCTGGTGAAGCCACATAGGCAGTAAACATGTTCACGCTGTGGAGACTGTTCCACACGATAGCGACAAACGGACGGTCTAGCGTGAACGAAGGTGGCACCGATGTAATTCCAGCCACCCCTCCGGCGCCGGCAGCCTCTGTGCCCTTCTCGTCCACCTCAATGACCACCTTGTGAAAGACCTTGTTGACGAGCAACTGTGAATCGGCCATGTTTCCAAGATCAGCCGTGCCACTAAACAGATGCTGGATTCCCAAGGCCTGGAGGGCGCTTAGCAAGCTGTATTCTGTCTCCAGTTTGAATCGCGGCATTGCAACGTACAGCCTTGTTTCTTGCAACTGGCTGAGGATGTTGGCAACATCCAGCGTATTCAGGGAATTGACCAAGCTCTGAACAGAAGCCATGGTCCGCGCAGCCGGTCTTAGAAGCACCATTTTATAATTGGAGTCGGTGTACGGAAGAGAGATGACGTCGTAACTAGCCTTGTCAACGTACGGCACCCTCATTTCCATATGCATCATGTCAACAGTCTTATTGCCAGATACAGTGAGAAACTGCGCTGGACGTGTGCTGTCCGCATAAAATTCTTCCTTCCAGTTACCCTTGAAATATAGAGCGCTCACGAGGACGAAGACTGCATCTGTAAGCGCCTCCGCATCCACCAGCCGGGGGATGAGGTTGTTGGTGGTGGCAGCCACCGCAGCGTTGATGGCCTGGGCGGCATCGGCAGGACCGGAGAAGGTGCTCACACTGGACGAGTAGTACGTGGACAGGACGGCGCTGTAGTTGGCCTTGACGCTGAAGCCGTCACGCAAGTAGAGTCCGTTGAAAACGTCACAGGTGACGTTGCTGCTGCCAGAGGTTAGTGACCCGATTGCAGACTGGTATGATGCAAGGAATGAGTCGTCAGTCACTCCAAGAGCAGACGACAGCTGTGAATCAAACCAAACATAATAGTTTACAACAACGAAGAGGCGCAATTTCTAAAGCTCATGAGCTGGACGTATCACGGTAGCAAGAAAACAGCCCAGTGTTCTTTCACACAGGTTTCACAGGTCTGTATTTTTTTTTCTCCGTCGTCACGGCTGCACCCCACTACCCCAGTTTTTCTCAATAGTCTCATTTTAAATAACGTATAATAAAAATGAAGACCTAAAATTATTTTACAATAAAACGGTGCAGTTGCCGCGGCAGTGCAAGATGCAGTGCACTTACCTGAGTTCTAGTAGGTCCATCGGCAGCCAGCCAGACCTGTGACATTAGAGTGGATATGACGAATGGTGAAATGGCTTCATTCCGGCCTAGATTGGTTGTCAACTGTTGCATGAGCGCGAGGTCCAAGCCGGAAGGAATTGCGCTGAATCCCTCTCCCAGTGCGGCGCAAATCAGCGCCAACCTAAGAGCTGATGAACATGAGGGCACCTTGTTAAAAGAGTCACAGCAACGTCAAACTTACAACTTACAAGAAAATAAAGATCCAGAATGCATATAGGCAATGCAAAGAATTTACTATCTGTTTTGTGACCTTATTCACCTGTATAGGCAATGCTACCATCGAGAAAAGTGCTTATCACTGCTTTGACCATTAAAGGTCACGTACCTATAATGGTCATCGGTAGGTATTTAAACTTCGAAAATACCGGCGATAAATACCAGGTAGCGACTAGCGTCACGCAAGAATGCTGAAGTGTTGTGATTTTTTTCAGGAGTAAAACAAGCATCAATTATCCGTACACTTACCTGGCATTGAAAACTTCATATCTCGACAGAAAATGAACCACGCCGCACTCGCTGTCACCAAGAAGTGTTACAGTAGCTGGCCAGGTAAGCCGTCAAAGTGCAAAGTGATGGCGTGTCCTGCCCTGCACTAGTTTTTTCCTCTGTAGCTGCAACCACCACTGGTGCTTCTGCGGAGCGCAGTGTCGACAAGCACAGCTAAATAGCCGTCAAACGTCGCCATAGACACGGGGGTGTCGTCAGAATGTTGAGCGGGGTACAGCCGTAGTTGCATCGGTTTTACAGAGTTTTTTTTTAATAACTTGCATATAATATGAAGCACCAACGAAATAACGCTGATGTGTGCTGTTGTGTGCTATATATTCCTGATAATTGCAACGTAGTTTGATGTCATCACATTCCACAAATAATTTTGTTCTACATAGAGCCGCCCGTGGATCAGGTTGATTGACGGAACAGTGAACTGTCCCGTCTAAAGGGTAGGCCTCACTGAGTCAACCGTTCTGCTGCAGGCCATTCTGAGAATGTTGGCGAGGCAGGTGACAAATGTCGCGGTAAACACATGTGACAATGTAAGCGGGGTGAACACTGAACACTGCACGATGAGTCAGGCGACATTTCGCAAGCCTTCTGTTTGACCCATGGGCTAGTCTGTAGGTGTGTTTCAAAGGAACTTTTGTTTATCCTAATTCAAATAAGTAGGCATGGAATATTTGATATGCATTACAACGAACAGTTTTTTTTTTAATCTGCTTGCAATGCGCATTTGATTTGTCTTTTTTCTCCTCTCATAACACAATATTTTATTTTAGAGGGTCCTGATGTTCAGGGCTCATTTCGCTTATTATGCACTGTATATTTTAGCTCGAATGCCCTTTCCATGCGTGACCTTATAAATGTTATTGTTGGCTTAGAGCCTTGTGCCATAAGTCTATGGCCTGGAAAATTATCACTCGTTCCTTTTTAGCACCTGCCATTCAAAACAACCGACTAGCTAGGTACATGCTATAGGTAGACGCCGTTTATTACACAGCTAAGCTCTTCGAAAATAGGTTTTCGAGCAATTTCAAATATTTTGATAGATTTTAAGCCGATGATCTTATCTCATGAACTCAAGTTACATAACAAAGTCTCCAAAGTCTAAACAGTCAAATCAATCAACAACAGCCCTATCATATTTATTTCCATAGAACACCGTGCTCAAGTCGTGATGCTTTCAAAGATCGTCCGATGTTCGGAGAGGTTCACGGCGAGCCTACGTAGGCCGTGAACATGTTGACCATATGTCTCCAGTTCCACACGATGGCAAAGAACGGACGGTCCAGGATGAACGAGACCGGCAAGGAAGCGGTATAAGCAACCACAGCACCCGCCCCTGCCGCCACGGTGCCCTCTTCATTGACTTCGATGACGACCTTGTGCACCACCTTCTCAACTTGCAGCTTCTCTGATGCCATATTACTAAGATCAGCATCGGCGCTAAATACTTGCTTGATTCCTAGGTTTGGGAAAACCTTCTCCAATTCGTCGTACTTTGTCTCGATCCTGAAGCGCGGCATCTTCACTTCAACGGAGGTTTCTCTCAGCTGATTTGCAATACTTTGGACGTCCATCTTGTCCAGGGAGTCCCTGAGAGCTTGGACAGCCTCCATCGAGCGGTTCAGCGGCCTCAACAGCAGCATGCTGTAGTCGCAGTTGCTGTACTGGAGAGAAACGCAGTCGTACGAACTCGTCTTCATGTACGGTAGGTCACTTTTCAGCCTCATCATGTCAACCGTCTTTTCTCCAGAGGATGTGAGGAAGTTTTCTGGATCAGTGTTGTTGAACTTTTCATACCACTGCCCCTTGAAGTACAGGGCACTGACCAGAGCGAACGAAGCTCCTTCCAGTGAAGCCGGTGTGACCAGTTCAGGAATGAGATTATTGGTGGTGTTGGCTACCGCCGTGTTGATCGCATTGGCGCCTTCCTTTGCCGAGGAGAACTGCTCGACCTTCGATGAATAGTAGGCATCCAAAGTGCACACATAATTAGGTTTGATGCTGAATCCTTTCTTCGCGTAGATCCCGTTGAAAACTTTGGTGGTTGCGGAGCTTTGACCAAATTTCAGATCAGCGATGGCGGACTGGTAGCCCAGAAGGAACGCGTCTCCTTTTATTCCGAGGGCCGAAGTCATCTGTGAAAAGGAATGGACGGGTCACAACTAAAGTTCAACTTTGTTTTCATTTGCCTGTTGTTTTGTCTTGGTAGGCAAACGTTAAAATTAGGCTTGTTTTCGACTAAAAGCTAGGTAGACCAAGAACTATTGCTTCCGTATTAGGTGAATAATTGCCTTCATTTAATATCCATGAAGTGTCATTTTATTGTAAATTAAGCGCTAAGTTTTATTCAGGGTGCAATTTTGCATCATTCACAAACGCAGCCTTCTACAGCATCATGCACTACATTTTTCTTTTGATTCCTTTTCCTAATAATATTTTTGGTGGGCATACCAAAGCATGTAGGAATTAGGAATAGGCGCGGTAGGAACATTTTGAAATAAAATCCAAGTCAGTCTCAGACGACTTAGGTACCTACCGTTTCTTTCTCACAAAATTCGATGGCTTGCCATCAAAATACCCTAACCCATGCACATGCTGATTCTTATTTGCCAGTTTCTTCAATCCATGCAAACCCAATGAACCCTGGGAAAGTTTAGAAATCGATATTGCAGCATAATCCACGCATAGCCCCGAGGGTAACGCTGCACCCACTTGCTGATAGATGAAAGCTTTCACCCGAGCTCAGCAGTGACCGTCTTACCTCGTCTCTGGTGGTGCCGTTGGCTGCCAGCCACACCTGCGTCATCAGCGTGGACATGACGAACGGAGAGATGGCCTCGTTTTTACCGAGGTCGGTCGTCAGCTCCTTCAGCAGCTTCAGGTCCAGATCGCGGGGCACCAGGCCCGGCCCGAGCATCGGCGACAGAGTCGCCAGCATCCAGCTGAAACCTTCGTCAAGAACATCGATGTGTCATTGTTTTAAGTTTTTTTTTTTCATTGAATACCTTACGTTCTTATACATTAAATGCCCATTTTATGTCCGTAAAGCACCTGTCATGGCGAAAAAGTAAAGAGGCGTGAAATCTGCACAATGTATTGACCTAAACGGTTCATTGAATTCAATTGATATTTCAAATACACTATCCTTGAGCTTTTGGCAGTTGACAGATGACGGAGATAACAATCGATGAATGCATACCGCGGTGCAAGTGCTATTAAGAAACCCTCAACACAATACCCCTACGCATATCTTATACGCACCTGGTATGAAGCACGCGAAATCTGAAAAGGGATCAGGCATCATCTATCCCTTCCGTTTGTTTAAAAGTTGTCTAAGACGAAAAACGGTCCTACAGATGTGAAGTTTTGAGACTGAAGCGGACTTTGGACATCTGTACCTACTCTAGATCATTGAATACATTACAGTTCTGATAAATGATAATTGGTACTGTCCAACATGCAGATGCAGCCGTTTGCTTCAGTTATGCCAACAACATATATGTACAAGCTTACCTGGTATAAAGCACATCATGGTTGCTATATTGAAGATATTTACACTATTGTCACTTTATGCATTAAAAGTTCAAAATCATTATCAATGTGTAAAAACCCGGTCTTTGTGCCTCTCCGGTGATTATTTAGGTCTGTTGTCAGGACAGGCAGTTCTCTCAACAACACAGGGTTCACGGGCCAGCACGCCCAGCTCGGTTAAATAGGCCCCGCGACGGGCAGCGGCGGTGCTGGCGGCAACTCTGGTCCGTCCATCGCAGGGGCATTACGGGCCAACACATCGGGCTTAGAAAGGGCAAACTGAATGCACTGGCAGAACATCGCTCAATGTATGCTGAGTTTATTATTCTCGCATGCGGGTGAGGATGAGTGCGGTGATATTGAGGTGGTGTTCTTTTCCGTCGTTTGTCGCCGCTGGAGACGTGACTAGCGATTTTTCACTAACACGGCTGTCAGTCATAGCCCGTGAAGAGAGGGTCAGTCGCTGATGCAAACTAGCAGCTGTGAACTGACATTTAGAGAACACTCGCGAACGATTGTTGCAAAACATGTACACGGATATTTGTGCATGAGGTTTTGAAGAGATCAAGAGAGTGAGACAGCGATCGGATGTCGCCGATTTTCATCAGCGACATGCTGTCAGGTTTATGGAATAAGTTATTTAATTAAATTTTCCTTCTTCAGTGGTCTCCACAAGGAAAAGCAGTGACATGTAACTCAAAATCATTCACACGTTTGGCGTAACTATTCGTTGTAATAATTTTTGAGTTTTTGAGCATTTCACGCATGCTATGCCGCTAGCAATAAGGTCGGCACTACACATATGTTATATGTATTATGTATTTACATACATTGCCCATAATGATACATGTGAACATTTGCTATTTCCCAACGACGAACTGATTTCTGATTTTATTTTGCCTCCTCTCTAACCAGAAATGCGTCACATTTCGGCTTCGTAGCGTAGGTGCCATTGCGCAATACCCGCCCTAATGTCAGTCGGCATCCCACAAACCACAGTTACCTGGGTCAACCTAGGTCAAGAAGCTGGAGCTGCGGGGTATCGATCCCCGTACCTCTCACATGCTAAGCGAGCGCTCTACCACTTGAGCTACAGCCCCCGATTTGTACGGCGGTGTGGAGCTCTGTCGGTGTGTCCGGTCCACCCTCATCCAGTTCGGGACCACGCCCAGTGGCCACTTTCACCTGGCGCGTCCTCGGTCCGGTCGGCTGTCCACTCGCCAGTGCCACCACGACTGATAACATTCTGAGAACGAGCTCACATCCCTGGCCACAGCCGTCCCGGCTTCAGAGCCATCCGTCTTTATCAACTATCAAGGCTGGGCAAATATGATTAGATTCATGTGACGTATCTAAGCGGCCTTGAATACTTACCTACCGAAAATAAGATGCTACACATTCTCGACGTTCATTTGCAAGTATGGGCTGATCTTACGTTTACACACGAGAGAGAGAGAGAGAGAGAGAGAGAGAGAGAGAGAGAGAGAGAGAGAGAGAGAGAGAGAGAGAGAGAGGAGAGAGAGAGAGAGAGAGAGAGAGAGAGAGAGAGAGAGAGAGAGAGAGTCAGAGGGAATACTCAGATGGGGAAAGGGATGTGCATGGTTGTGATTCTCAATTCCCAAATGTGACATGCCTCATAACCACTGCAGGTCGGATCGCAGCCTGTGGGCGGCTAGAGCCTCGGACGCGCTGAGTCAGGCTGTTTGACATCAGGCTATCGGCAGTTGACCTCTCTGCAGGGACGTTACTTTACCGACGGTATCATTTGACCAGCCGCTGGTCTCCGAGCTTCGCCGCTGAACTATGACATTTGACCGGTCCTGATCTAAAAGGGTCATCATTGAAATGACCTCATTCTAACGCAAACAATTGCTCAATTTATGGGAAGATATTATCTACATAGAAACCTGAGAAACAAATCGGTCATCCGCTCGTGGGTTCAACAAGGCGCATTGCCTAGAAATTGTACTTGTTATGCATTTTGTATCCTATGTTGCGTTATTCAATCTGTTGATAGTATATGCGATTTTTTATTGTTAAACATAAGGCAAAAGAGCCATTTGCTTGCTATCTTTATTTCATCATCAAGTCGAACGATCAAAATTTGTCTCACACAATCTCACATTCCCTCAAACCAATGAAATGAGTCATCATGACTCTTGAGTCAACATCAATTCAAAAGTAATGAATACAAGGAAATGCTAAGGAAGAATGAAATATGTGCTCAAGTTTTCGGGTCAGTGATCAAGAGCATTTGGTTTAAAAGGACACTATAGTTCGTTTTTCTTAAGTTTGCCCCTCACTGTAAACGTCTTTTTGAACACAGCACGAGAATTGCTTGCTGAATTACTGAGAAAACTGGTTGGCGCACAATGATTTGACCAGATTTGACAGACGATCAATTTCATCAAATTTATTTACTATTTCACAGACTTGTAGCTCGTATTTGCTAATACCTACAGCCCCACAGGGATAGACGACTTCTCAGGAATTCTGTCTGAACTAATAAATAAATTGCACGGCGCTTAACATAACGTTAAATCGTCGGTGTTCAAAACTTATTTTGAAAATAATATTCATATCTACAATACAATGTGCGCCAACCAGTTTTCTCAGTAATTCAGCTAGCAATTCTCGTGCTGTGTTCAAAAAGACGTTTACAGTGAGGGGCAAACTTAAGAAAAACGAACTATAGTTAGGTATGTATATAGAGAGAGTTTATGGTCTCGACCTAGGCGGAATCAGCAAATCCCATTCGCAAGTTATCCGCATCGAACACCGTGTAAAACTTCTGCATGAACATTGTTCCGAGACTCACGTAGTTGTCGATGAATTGAGGCAGCCCGACGAACCCGGAAATACACATCTCCGCACCTCCCTCGAGAGGGATGACAAACACATACTCAAGGGGGCTCATCTCCAGGGAGCGGCCAGCGATCGTCATCTTCAAGGAGGGCAGCGTGCTGACGGAGGTGCAGTTGAGTGCGACCACGCCCGGCTGGCCGATGTCTATACCTCCAATCGCATCGTTGACCGTCTTGGCCATCTCCATCGACATGAAGAAGTAGGGGTTGAGGCTGTTGGCGTTGACCAGACAGTTGCCGGTGCAGAGGCTCGTCTCTCCGACGTCAAAGCTCTCCGTCATGACCACCCAGCCGTCCGGATTCTGCAGGGTGGTCGCCCACACCAGCTCGCCGCTGTAGCGGGCGCTGTTGAGGCCGCCCAGAGACAGCTCCCCTCCGGCTCCGTCCCGGCCCAGCCAGAGGCCCATCAGACGCTGGCCGATCAGGTCCTGCGACTTCATCGTGTCCAGGATGGAGGGAACCCGGTCCGGCTGCAGCGAGAAGCCCAGCCCCAGCACGCCGTCGTTGGGCGCCTGCACCGAGTAGCTGTTCCAGACGGCTGTGGCCTCGCCGAACGTCTGGCCCTGCACAGTGGCGCCCGCCACGCTGATCGAATCCTTGGAGAGCACGCCGCTGGCGTTCTGTCCGTACGGCAGCTCGAACGGAGTGCCGTCAGCCTAAAAATGTAAAAGATGGCTTTGTCAGCTATGTTGTTGAATTCCAACAGGCTGCGTTATCGTGAAGAGTTTTGATTCAGTTTACAGTTACAAAGCTAAACAATAAAATTGGAGCCAAAGATGAGTTAGTAACTCTTAAGCACCTCTGTGGGTATGCGAACTCAGACTTCTGAAGGCCCAGAGCTCGGATTCATCCGTTTTTCTCGCAGAATACGCCCTTAGTAACTAAGTGCTTTCAGCGCAGGGAGACTGACGGAAGTCATACAGCGCTAACCTCCTATGTAGAATACGATGTGATAGCTCTCCCGACTCCCTGTATAATGTATATGAGGGATGGAGCGATATGAGGGATAGTGATAGCTCACTTCGTAAGCGGAGTACGAACGGATTTGGCTGCTCAACTTTACGAAGGACCAGCGCAGTCAGTAGCTCATCTCGTACGAAGCACGAACGGATCTTGCAGCCCACCGCGTATGAAACACAAACGCGTTTAGAAGCTCACCTATACGGGGCACGAATGTAGTTGGTGGCTCACCTCGTATGTGGAGGAGGCGGCGGAGTCGTAGCGGCGGTGTCCCGTGCAGAACGGGTCGCTGCAGTTGACCGATGGCACGTAGGTCAGCCGGCTACTGATGTCCACAGTGACCGTCATGGACTGATCGGGGGTGCCTATCCCGATCACACCCACAAACGACTGCTGGCCCTGGAAACGGGAGAGCGAGAGGAGGCATTGTGAGGTGTGATTTTTACTTGGGGTCTGAGATGTTCACCAAAGAATTACCTACTCTCATTCTTTACAACCGTTTTCTTCACATCCCCATACCCTCGAAATGAGAGTTAACCTTAAGTAATTGAGCATCTGAGAATGACTTTAGCGTGAATAGCAAATTAATTCAGCCAAAAGTATTTCTTCGATTACATACTTCACATTATTCGGAACATCACATCACTGCGAGTTGAAGGAGAAGTGGCCATTTCACTGTCAATTTCAGAGCGTGAGGCAGGAGGTGAGGTTACTACCAAAGACATAAACTCACGTTGACAAGGACGTCTTTCAGCGGCAAAGAGATGACGCTATATCCAGCGGTCCTGTCGGGCACGGCTGCCGCCTGCATGTCCATCAAGTTAGCGTCGTATTCGTATTCGTTTTCAGCGTCGAGTTCAAAACATCGCCAAACTATGCCAAACGATAGATCTTGACACGCTGATTCCAAAAATATCACTCATTTTTTCCTAGGTCAAATATTTTGACCTCTAGGGGCAAAAAAACCACTCTGGCTATAAACAACAATAAGGTACTTCTTTATTTACCGTCCGATCGGGCTGAAACTTACACAAAACATGTGCCGCCACACAAGGATGCGTCACAATCAACAAAATCACCGATCGAGGTCAAAGGTCAAGGTCATATTTGCGAAAAACCGTTATTTTTCGACGGGGTACCAAATAAAAACTTTATTTACCGTCCGATCGGGCTGAAACTTACACAAAACATGTGCCGCCACACAAGGATGCGTCACAATCAACAAAATCGCCGATCGAGGTCAAAGGTCAAGGTCATATTTGCGAAAAACCGTTATTTTTCGACGGGGTACCAATAAAAACTTTATTTACCGTCCGATCGGGCTGAAACTTACACAAAGCATGTGCCGACACACAGGGATGCGTCACAATCAACAAAATCGCCGATCGAGGTCAAAGGTCAAGGTCATATTTGCGAAAAACCGTTATTTTTCGACGGGGTACCAAATAAAAACTTTATTTACCGTCCGATCGGGCTGAAACTTACACAAAACATGTGCCGCCACACAAGGATGCGTCACAATCAACAAAATTGCCGATCGAGGTCAAAAGTCAAGGTCATATTTGCGAAAAACCGTTATTTTTCGACGGGGTACCAAATAAAAACTTTATTTACCGTCCGATCGGGCTGAAACTTACACAAAACATGTGCCGCCACACAAGGATGCGTCACAATCAACAAAATCGCCGATCGAGGTCAAAGGTCAAGGTCATATTTGCGAAAAAACCGTTATTTTTCGACGGGGTACCAAACAAAAACTTTATTTACCGTCCGATCGGGCTGAAACTTACACAAAACATGTGCCGCCACACAAGAATGCGTCACAATCAACAAAATCGCCGATCGAGGTCAAAGGTCAAGGTCATATTTGCGAAAAACCGTTATTTTTCGACGGGGTACCAAAAAAAAACTTTATTTACCGTCCGATCGGGCTGAAACTTACACAAAACATGTGCCGCCACACAAGGATGCGTCACAATCAACAAAATCGCCGATCGAGGTCAAAGGTCAAGGTCATATTTGCGAAAAACCGTTATTTTTCGACGGGGTACCAAATAAAAACTTTATTTACCGTCCGATCGGGCTGAAACTTACACAAAACATGTGCCGCCACACAAGGATGCGTCACAATCAACAAAATCGCCGATCGAGGTCAAAGGTCAAGGTCATATTTGCAAAAAAACCGTTATTTTTCGACGGGGTACCAAATAAAAACTTTATTTACCGTCCGATCGGGCTGAAACTTACACAAAACATGTGCCGCCACACAAGGATGCGTCACAATCAACAAAATCGCCGATCGAGGTCAAAGGTCAAGGTCATATTTGCGAAAAACCGTTATTTTTCGACGGGGTACCAAATAAAACTTTATTTACCGTCCGATCGGGCTGAAACTTACACAAAACATGTGCCGCCACACAAGGATGCGTCACAATCAAGAAAATCGCCGATCGAGGTCAAAGGTCAAGGTCATATTTGCGAAAAAACCGTTATTTTTCGACGGGGTACCAAATAAAAACTTTATTTACCGTCCGATCGGGCTGAAATTTACACAAAACATGTGCCGCCACACAAGGATGCGTAACAATCAACAAAATCGCCGATCGAGGTCAAAGGTCAAGGTCATATTTGCGAAAAACCGTTATTTTTCGACGGGGTACCAAATAAAAACTTTATTTACCGTCCGATCGGGCTGAAACTTACACAAAACATGTGCCGCCACACAAGGATGCGTCACAATCAACAAAATCGCCGATCGAGATCAAAGGTCAAGGTCATATTTGCGAAAAACCATTATTTTTCGACGGGGTACCAAATAAAAACTTTATTTACCGTCCGATCGGGCTGAAACTTACACAAAACATGTGCCGCCACACAAGGATGCGTCACAATCAACAAAATCGCCGATCGAGGTCAAAGGTCAATGTCATATTTGCGAAAAACCGTTATTTTTCGACGGGGTACCAAATAAAAACTTTATTTACCGTCCGATCGGGCTGAAACTTACACAAAACATGTGCCGCCACACAAGGATGCGTCACAATCAACAAAATCGCCGATCGAGGTCAAAGGTCAAGGTCATATTTGCGAAAAACCGTTATTTTTCGACGGGGTACCAAATAAAAACTTTATTTACCGTCCGATCGGGCTGAAACTTACACAAAACATGTGCCGCCACACAAGGATGCGTCACAATCAACAAAATCGCCGATCGAGGTCAAAGGTCAAGGTCATATTTGCGAAAAACCGTTATTTTTCGACGGGGTACCAAATAAAAACTTTATTTACCGTCCGATCGGGCTGAAACTTACACAAAACATGTGCCGCCACACAAGGATGCGTCACAATCAACAAAATCGCCGATCGAGGTCAAAGGTCAAGGTCATATTTGCGAAAAACCGTTATTTTTCGACGGGGTACCAAATAAAAACTTTATTTACCGTCCGATCGGGCTGAAACTTACACAAAACATGTGCCGCCACACAAGGATGCGTCACAATCAACAAAATCGCCGATCGAGGTCAAAGGTCAAGGTCATATTTGCGAAAAACCGTTATTTTTCGACGGGGTACCAAATAAAAACTTTATTTACCGTCCGATCGGGCTGAAACTTACACAAAACATGTGCCGCCACACAAGGATGCGTCACAATCAACAAAATCGCCGATCGAGGTCAAAGGTCAAGGTCATATTTGCGAAAAACCGTTATTTTTCGACGGGGTACCAAATAAAAACTTTATTTACCGTCCGATCGGGCTGAAACTTACACAAAACATGTGCCGCCACACAAGGATGCGTCACAATCAACAAAATCGCCGATCGAGGTCAAAGGTCAAGGTCATATTTGCGAAAAACCGTTATTTTTCGACGGGGTACCAAATAAAAACTTTATTTACCGTCCGATCGGGCTGAAACTTACACAAAACATGTGCCGCCACACAAGGATGCGTCACAATCAACAAAATCGCCGATCGAGGTCAAAGGTCAAGGTCATATTTGCGAAAAACCGTTATTTTTCGACGGGGTACCAAATAAAAACTTTATTTACCGTCCGATCGGGCTGAAACTTACACAAAACATGTGCCGCCACACAAGGATGCGTCACAATCAACAAAATCGCCGATCGAGGTCAAAGGTCAAGGTCATATTTGCGAAAAACCGTTATTTTTCGACGGGGTACCAAATAAAAACTTTATTTACCGTCCGATCGGGCTGAAACTTACACAAAACATGTGCCGCCACACAAGGATGCGTCACAATCAACAAAATCGCCGATCGAGGTCAAAGGTCAAGGTCATATTTGCGAAAAAACCGTTATTTTTCGACGGGGTACCAAATAAAAACTTTATTTACCGTCCGATCGGGCTGAAACTTACACAAAACATGTGCCGCCACACAAGGATGCGTCACAATCAACAAAATCGCCGATCGAGGTCAAAGGTCAAGGTCATATTTGCGAAAAACCGTTATTTTTCGACGGGGTACCAAATAAAAACTTTATTTACCGTCCGATCGGGCTGAAACTTACACAAAACATGTGCCGCCACACAAGGATGCGTCACAATCAACAAAATCGCCGATCGAGGTCAAAGGTCAAGGTCATATTTGCGAAAAAACCGTTATTTTTCGACGGGGTACCAAATAAAAACTTTATTTACCGTCCGATCGGGCTGAAACTTACACAAAACATGTGCCGCCACACAAGGATGCGTCACAATCAACAAAATCGCCGATCGAGGTCAAAGGTCAAGGTCATATTTGCGAAAAACCGTTATTTTTCGACGGGGTACCAAATAAAAACTTTATTTACCGTCCGATCGGGCTGAAACTTACACAAAACATGTGCCGCCACACAAGGATGCGTCACAATCAACAAAATCGCCGATCGAGGTCAAAGGTCAAGGTCATATTTGCGAAAAACCGTTATTTTTCGACGGGGTACCAAATAAAAACTTTATTTACCGTCCGATCGGGCTGAAACTTACACAAAACATGTGCCGCCACACAAGGATGCGTCACAATCAACAAAATCGCCGATCGAGGTCAAAGGTCAAGGTCATATTTGCGAAAAACCGTTATTTTTCGACGGGGTACCAAATAAAAACTTTATTTACCGTCCGATCGGGCTGAAACTTACACAAAACATGTGCCGCCACACAAGGATGCGTCACAATCAACAAAATCGCCGATCGAGGTCAAAGGTCAAGGTCATATTTGCGAAAAACCGTTATTTTTCGACGGGGTACCAAATAAAAACTTTATTTACCGTCCGATCGGGCTGAAACTTACACAAAACATGTGCCGCCACACAAGGATGCGTCACAATCAACAAAATCGCCGATCGAGGTCAAAGGTCAAGGTCATATTTGCGAAAAACCGTTATTTTTCGACGGGGTACCAAATAAAAACTTTATTTACCGTCCGATCGGGCTGAAACTTACACAAAACATGTGCCGCCACACAAGGATGCGTCACAATCAACAAAATCGCCGATCGAGGTCAAAGGTCAAGGTCATATTTGCGAAAAAACCGTTATTTTTCGACGGGGTACCAAATAAAAACTTTATTTACCGTCCGATCGGGCTGAAACTTACACAAAACATGTGCCGCCACACAAGGATGCGTCACAATCAACAAAATCGCCGATCGAGGTCAAAGGTCAAGGTCATATTTGCGAAAAACCGTTATTTTTCGACGGGGTACCAAATAAAAACTTTATTTACCGTCCGATCGGGCTGAAACTTACACAAAACATGTGCCGCCACACAAGGATGCGTCACAATCAACAAAATCGCCGATCGAGGT